CCAGAGATGGAGGCAGAGACCATGATGTGGAGAGATGGAGCGTCTGGAGACTCTAGACCCAGAGAAGGAGAGAGGCTTGCAGGGTATACACTTTGGTTGGTTGGTCATGCATGGAGGGAATTGTAACCATGGCAATGAAATGATATACGATAGGATGAATGTAAAACTAATGTTCTCCCATGTAAACTATCAAGTAATTCACAATAAAACATTAAAATAAATAAATAATTGACAGTGATTTGAAATTAAAGATTAAAAAAAAAAGTTTTGCTTCTAGATATGGCTGACATTTGTCTGTCTCCCAACCACATAGCACTTTCCTGGGAAATGAAAACTTCTTTTCAAATAACAGTTCCTAACAGCAACAGAGAATCCACTAGTCAAGGTAAGCACGGGCTTACTTGTGTTTACTTACAAATCTGTAGTGAACAGTCTCACATGTTTTTTCAGAACAAACTCATGTGAAAAATTTCACTACACATTAGTAAGTAAGCTCATGCCTACCTTGTTTATTGGTAAACTGCCACTGGTTGGCAACTGTAGGAAACTTCTTAACTGAGGGTCTATTCCTAAGAAAACTGATTCAAAGGAGACAGTAAAACCAAATCACTGCTACCCCTATCTGTTAGATATAGAATTCTGTTTTTCAAGTGGGAAGGAGGGAGACCCAGTGATATCACTACACAATTTGTATAACAGGAACCAAAAATTCCTTACCAATGTTCCTTCTTACTGAATACTTTTTGAGCCAAATGCTTTATAAAGTATAAATATGTAAATACAAAGTGCAAAATATTATGTTATAGCTACAATATGTATAACTATACAATTTATAGAATAGACACAGATACTCGAATGACATTGAAATAGTTTAGTGGATTAAATAAAACAAGGTGATATGCTGATATTTAATAACATTTATAATTGTTATTGTACTATGTGTTGATTAGCTATAAATAGCAAGTGTGACTGAAATTAATGTTGCTTTTATAAAGTCAAATTAAGTTTTAGCAGTGTTTCTTCTTTCTCCTGGCTCATTTGTTATTATCACTAACCAAGATGCTGGTTTTCCTATTTGGTCCCCAGATTTGGCCATCTCTACCCCTTTCTGTGACTCTAATACCAACTCTTATGGACCGCATCCTTTGGGCTACCTTGAAGGCTGACTTCTGGTTGGATTTGGTCAATGAGACACACCTGTAGAAGATCAGCGAGTAGGAAAAGAGGTCGGGGATAATCTTCTCTGCTTGACCACATCGTTTTTATCTCTGTCAAGAGCTGTATCTTCTTGTGAACACCAAGCTAGTTGTTGTTGTGTTGATTCTGACTCATGCCGACTTCTAGTGTAACAGAGTAAAACTGTGCTCCATGAGGTTTTCACTGCTATGTGACCTCTCAAGAGCTGATCACTGGAGATAAGCAGGGGAGAAGTGGAAGATAAGCAAGACTGTGGCTGGACCTGACCTACACAGTCTGAGAAATGGAAGGTGGTTCCAGCTGTTCTTGGTTCTACAAACTCACCTCCCTGCTGCTTCTCTTCCAGCTGCTCACACGGGGGTTTCCAGAGGAATTCCTGGTGATTGCCCTTTGGACCCCATTGTGGCAGTGTTGGGTGTGGACATCACGCTGCCCTGCTCACTGTCCTCTGCCATGAAAGTGGAGAAGATGGAGCTGTGGGGGTTCCAGTCCAACTTCCCAGAAGTGGTGTTCATCTATCAGAACCAGCAGGAGCAGAAGGAGGAGGACAGACCTTGCTGGTGAGAGACTTCCTCACTCGGGGGAGGCTGCTGTATGCATCAACAAGATTCAGGTTTCTGACCATGGGCTGTACATCTTTGGAGGTGAAAGTGGTGGGTGTGGGCTCTGACCCTCAAGTGCGCATGGAAGTACAAGAGGAAGATGGGGGCTGCATGATATGCATGACCTCCAGGTGGTTTCAGTGGAAGACCTGAGTGGAGAAAAGTTCCTGGCTTTCTCTGAGGCCCAAGCCCAGGATGCTGCTAGACTGTTCAGTGTGGAGGCCTCGCTGGTGGTGAGAGACAGCTCTGTAGAGAACATGACCTGCTCCATCCTCAACCCCATCCTGAGTTGGGAGAAAGTGAAGGCCGTTTTCACCCCAGAGTCCTTTTTCCACAGGTCTCTCTAATGGAGGCTAACTTTTGCAGTGAGTCTGGCCATGCTGATGCTCCTCAGCTTAGGGGCTGGCTATTTTCTCAAGAAAGAACATTCAACAAAGGTGCAGGAGTGGAAGGACTGGGAGACTCTTCAGCAGGAAAAGGAGGAGGATGAGAAGGCATTGAAGTTGGCCAACAAGGAGGCAGATGAACTCCAGAGAGAGCTGAACTGGAGGAAGGTGGTTTACTGCGTGGGCCCGGAGAAAGGCCCAGCTTCATGCAGATTGGCAGAAGGAGCACTTCCAGATTGGGGCTGTCACTCTAAGTCCACAGTCTGCCCATTCTGGCCTTGCCCTCTTTCAGGAAAACACGAGTGTGACCTGGAAGGACACCTGTGAGGACCTGAGTGATGACAGATGCAGCGAGTTGGGTGCTGAGGGTATCACGTCAGGGCGATGTTACTGGGAAGTGAAAGTTAGACATGGAGGCACAAGTGGGTTTGTAGGGAAGATGTGGATAGGGAAGGCTGGATCAGAGAGTGCCCAGAAAAGGGTTGGCTTGTGGGACATTTTTCAGGAGTCCTGGTGTGGCACTGTGGGTTAATGCGCTGGACTGCAAAGTCGTTTGAATCACAAGGTCAGTGGTTCAAGCTCAAGGTCACTTCTTGGAAACCCTGTACAGGGTCACTATGGGTCAGAATCGACTCGACGAGACTCAACAACATACTACCTCTGAAACAAGACTACCTCTTAAACAGGCTTACTGCCAGGTGGGGGTTTTCCTGGACTATGATGGTGGAGATGTCTGTTTCTACAACATGATTGATGGGTCTCATATTTTCTCATTCTCTCAGGTTTCTTTCTCTGGGACCCTCTTTCCATATTTCATGCTTAGGTCAGGAAACCTGTCCTTGACTATCTGTTCCATGGTAGGTTGTCCCAAGGGGCTCTCTGTGCCTAATACATTTCCGTCTTCTTTGAATGAGCCAATGAGCACTCCAGAGGAGGGGGTTGAGATCTGGCTCTGGTGGTGATGGTGTTCTCCCAGGGGTTGAATCTCCATGACTCCCCTCTGGCCCCAGGGCTGTGCCCCCATAAGGATTTATCTTTGTATGGGTCCCCTCCCCTCACAGTGGCTCTTTTGGGAGCTTCAGACTCCCCAAGGTGAAAGACTTTCAGGTGAGAGCTGGAGGGCACTGGGAGCCATGCGTTTTGTGATTTGGATGAAGACTTTTGGGGAAGTGTGTGACTCTGAGAATTGCCAATTCATGTCTGTGTTCCTCTAGTGAGAAGAAAGAAGCTGACTTTAGTTTGAGCTGTTTAAGATTGGTAGAATTTGCCTGTGGAAGGTTGTTTTACTTTGGTCATGAAAAACATTGTTGAGTATTTTATACTGTTTGTATATTAAAGGAGAGGCGTTGAATCCTCTGCAGTATAGTTTGCTTTATCCAACTTGACTTTGTATTGAATGTGGGAACCTATCTCTTTTTTTAAAAAAAAGTTTTTATTGTGAATTATGTGATAGTTTGCATGGGGGAACATTTTCTTTACATTCATCCTATTTTGTTTCATTGCAATCATTGCAGTCCCCTCCCATGTATCATCAAGCAACTGAGGCCTGCCCCCTGGCCATCAGCACACAGACCCTCTCCCTCCCTGAGTTCAGAGTCCCTAGCCACTGCATCTTTCCATATCATGACCCTACTTGTATTTTAAGGGGTCTAGGCAAGCTGATCAAGAAGCTCTGATAGCATAGTGGTTACGAGTCGGGCTGCCAGCCTCAAGGTCAGCAGTTTGAAACTACCAGCAGTTCTGCAGGAGAAAGATGAGGCATTCCACTCCTGCAAAGATTTACAGCCTTGGAAACCCTGTGCAGCGTCACTAAGAGTCGGAACTGACTCCACGATATTGAACAACAACAACAACAGGCAAGCTGATCAGAAAATGTCCATCTTACTAATTCCTGGGACATGATGGATTGGACTTTTAACAAGAGAAAATCAAATATATTCTTCACATATTCTTAGCTAGCTGAAACATATCTGTTTTCCCCAAATCATCTGTAAAATTCTGTTATTCATGAATACACTGTGTGTGTTAATTATGGAAATTGAGAAGCAACAGGGTTCCTGTTTTGGTCTATACTAGGTAGAAAGCAGAGGACTGCTGGCAAAAATAAGATGTAAATGGACACGAGAAAATTCTAGAACAGAGAATTGCAGAGAGTGTTGCCATAAGCATTGTTTCAGTTATTGGTGTTAAAGGGAAATGGGAAACCGAAGCATCCCCAAAGGGAAAGGATTGTCAAGTACTGAGACCTTTGACGAACTAAGGTGTAGTCACTTCAGCAGCTAAAGAACTCTTCGGTTCTGGCTGAGGGTGGGGGAAACAAGGAAAAGGAAGTAGAAGAGAGAAGTCATAGATATCAACTCTGGAACCAGTTACAGAAACAAGAACTGTAATAACTTTCCATATTATCTTTAGTTTTCATGTGTATGTTTGTTTTCATGTGTATGTTTAACTGTTTGCTTCTCCTCTAAAAAAAAAAGCTGATCACTAAGTCTTACTTCCAAGGCACCTGTGGCTGACTTTGAACCAACCTTCTGGCGAGTGGCTGAGTACTTAATTGTTCACACCAGCGACAAACTCTTCCATGAGCATAATGCTCATGAGTTGTCTGTCCTTCAAGCTCCAGTTCTGGGGGGGTCTGAGTTCATCCCCCTGTCCTTTCAGCCCTGTTATCAGCCTCCAGGTGACTCCTTAGCTTTGCTTACTTTCTTCATCTTGCCTGTGTACCTCTGTAACTGTCCTTTCTGAAAGTGTATCCAACTGAACCCAGCTAGACCTTGCCTGAGATACCAGGAAATCATAGACAGGGTTTGTCCATGATGAATGCATGTCTGGTCTCATGTTTCTTCCTGTCTTAATCACATACATGCAAAGTTCTTGAATTTGCTTTTCAATACCCGGGATTCTATCTGTTCCCTCTTTCCCATATCACTTGCGTGAGTATGCGTGCCTATTGTTTAGGCTTCCTAAAATTTTCTTCCACCTCCAAAATGTCCTGCCTTTTATCCTATTCCAGTTATAGTTCTCTCTATACTTCAAGATTTTGGAGGAGCAAGTTTCTGAATTCAATGTCAACACATAGAGCTTAGTGTGGGTCGCCTAAGAAGAAGGTGGATATAAAGTAAGAATCTGTGTGACCCGAGCGTAGCTATGAAAGAGAGGCATATAATTGCTCCAGTCTTTCACACTCTCAGACCTCCTGGGAATAGGCCCCCAGAACCTGCATCTAGAAAAACTCCTATCTATACTCTCTGTCTACGGAAGGCTCATGAAGGTGGGGGGAAATACCTAAAATTTGCCGTAATCCAGGTACTCTGCGTGGCATTTCTCCATCTCCCTCTTTACATCATGTTGACTTATTCCTCTCATCACACAGGACCTTCTTTGACATAGTTTCTCATTTTAGTTCTGTATCCTCAGCATTCTGCAACAGTGGTTGACTCACAATGGTTGTTGACTTAACTGTTGAAACAGGTTTGCCTGCAAGACTTCTAATGAAGTCTTATTTGAAAGAAGAGAGGTTGCTATGCTCCTCAGGGAAGCTAGGGAGGGGGCCAACATTAAATGTGAGAAAAAAGAAATGAAGAAAGAAAGGGGTGGAATCTGGGACCATCAAATACAGTCTGATTCATTGTTTGCCCACTTATGTTTTTTTAACCTAACCAAGCCAACTTGAGTAGGAGATGATGATGGGCTGTGAATCGCTCCACATTTGTGTAGCTGAGAGAAAATACTGCAGTCAATGTCTTGAGCCTTCAATAAAGCTGGAGGCCTGTGGCAATTCCACAGCAGAAAGTAGAAGGACCAGACCAAAAGTCAACAATCCTGGGTCTTGTTTCTGGCCTTGCTACTCACTAATTACATGACTTGGTACAAAGTGATCTGACCATTGTGTACCTTTTAATTTTAACTATAAACTAGAGACTATAACATCCACCTTGCATCCGTCCAAGGAATGTCATATGAGATAATGCAGGCAAAAGCATTTTGCTAGCCAAAAAGCATGACGCTAAGGTGAAGTTTCAGAATCAGAGTGTATCCAGTCCTCCTTACTGAGGCCAGGAGAGGCCAGGCCAGGAGACACCCTGTCCTCGAAAAAGCACTTGGGCTGAGGAGGCAGGTGTGCTGAGTCCCTTCCAGGAGTTAATTGTATATGCTCTGGAGGCCCTTGATGGTTTCCAGCCCCACAGTGGGACAATGGATTCCTAGGGAACTTGTGTTCCTGCCATGCCGATTCTCTCTTGCTCCCCAGAGCTCTTCTTCCCTTTTACCTCACCGTGATTACTACTCACTAATCCCATTCCCTTCTCACATTGACTTTTGACCAGACCATGTGTTTGACATCCGAATGACTCTGGTAGATGCGGGTCTGGATACTCAAAACTTTTGGTTGGAAAGTCATTCAAGGATTCTGCCATGTAGGATTTTTAAGATTTCCAGATTTTGCATCTTTAAAATATCTTGGGTCAGATAATTTTCCTATTGTGGCTGTCTGTCTGTGTGTATATGAGTGCACAAACACACACAGAGACATACCTATTGGCTGTATTTAGTGGGAAAAGGCTCCTAGGCCAAAAACCCATTCAGGTTTGTTTGAATGAGTAAGAAACAATGGGAATTCAGAGGGTACAAGATTATAAATATTACAGAGGTTATTCAAAATCTCATTTCCTTAGTCTGACTGCCTTTTTACTCTACATATTTAAATTCCATTTGCAGCCACGACCCTGATACTCTTAAAGAAAGTAACAACAAAGAAGCTACTGCTAAGGAAAATGTAAATTGGTTTGTTTGCTTCTGAACACTTCTGGGCAATGGAAACACAGGCGACTGTTATGCCAATGGTCTCATTGAATATACAAAATCTTTGTCTTTCTCAGGAGTTGTTTTTAAGGTTAACCATTTTCTAAAGAGTTCTTTGTGTCTAGAAACCAATTTTATGCTCCTTTGTCCAGCTGCAGAGT